AGGTTCCAAGAGATCTCCCAAGGTGGCCCCAATAGGCACAACTCATTGTTTTACGATTGGGTTTTGACGGGTTTTAATTTTTCTGCCTTTTGGCATCCCGATGCTCCAATGACGGCCCAAGAGGCTTCCAACACCGCTCCAAAATAGAGTAAGAGGCCTCCAAGAGGGCCCCAAGACGGCCCGCGAGGGCCCCAAGACGGTGCTTCAGGCGCCCAAAACGGCCCGAGAGGGCCCCAAGAGCCCCAAGAGAGGCCCAAGGAGGGGAACGCAACCCAACAACAGATCGTTCCCCCCAAAAGGCCCACAGGAGGCCGCAAGAGGCCCCCAAGTGGTCCGACGAGGACCCCAAAAGCTCCCCGAGGGCTTAAAAGGCTTCTAGGAGACGTCCAAGAGGCTTTAATATAGCCCAAGAGTGCCCTCGATGCGTCAAAACTGCTTCCAGGAGGCCCCCGGGAGGCTTCCGGATTGCCTCAATCTGGCCGCAGGTGGCCTCAAGTCGGGCCTCCACGCAGCCAAGACGGCCAATGACGGCTTCAGATTGCAGAACCGATGCCCCCAAGGGACCCTCAGATGCCCCCGCAAGAAGCACCCAAGAGGTGCATCCAACGGCCAGTTCACGAAGCATGCGGAACACCCCAGAAGCTCCTCAGATGCCGTCGCGCGCCTGTGCTTGATAGCGTTGTCCAAGATCGTCCAGCGCCCCCCCGGCCTGGGCTGGAACCTGAGCGCCCGCGAGGCGCGCGTGATGGTTCTATATACATTATACATATATATATATATATATATATATATATATATATGTGTATGTGAGTATGTATGTATGTAGGTAGGTAGGTAGGTAAGTAGGTAGGTGGGTGGGTAGGTATGTATGTATGTATGTATGTATATATATATATATATATATATATATATATATGTGTGTATGTGTGTATATATATATATCCCCGTGCACGAGGCCAGGACGCCCGGGACCGCGACCTCGACAGGGCATGGGGGTTCCGGGCGTCGTTTTCGAAGGGCGTATATATGGGCCACAAAGGGCAGCGGGGGGCCACTGAGGGCAGCAGCGGGGCCACGCAGGGCAGCAATGGGGCCACTGAAGGCACGAGCGTTTGGGGGCCACGAAGGGCGCATGTATGGGCAATCGAAGGCAGCAAGGGGCCATTGAGGGCAGCAATGGGGCCACGAAGGGCAGCGACTGGGCCGCAAGGGGAGGGGCCACGAAGGGCAGCAATGAGGCACAAAGGGGACGAGCGAGCATGGGGCCACGAAGGGCATGACACTCACGGGCGGACTGAACGGGTAGATCGATCATGAATTCTGCGTGATTAGCCAGGACGTTTCCGGCCACAGAGCGATTCCAAAATTCTTCGAGGAAATCCCCAGCGAACGCGCGATTCCTGAATGGCCAGAGTGCGGCGCCTGAGTAAATTGCAAGGAAGTCTAAGGCGGGAGCGCGATTCTCGAGTAGATTGCAAGGATGTCTCAAGCGGGAGCGGGGGACCGGAGTACATTTCGAGGAAGTATCGAGTGTGAACCCTTGTTGTAAACCGGGGGCCAGGGACACATTTTGAGGAGGAATATTTTCCCTGACAAAAACCAGGGTGCGAGCGCCAGGAGGGGCACTTCAATTGAAAAATAGAATGTGCACCAGAGGGGGGGATCAACAATAATGATTCTTCAGTATTGAGAACTCAACGACGCAACAAGCAGAATTCTCGCAACGAGTTCCTAATTCAGCCACGCACAGAAGGACAATGAATGACCGCTCGGCCCCCTCACTCTGATTATATTGAAGCTTAGAATTTGCAGCATTGTCACGGATGGAGCGCAGGTCGTTTTCATATTGCGGTTCTGGCTTCGCGACGCGTTCGCCAGTAAGTTATCCAGGCGAAGGACCCAACCATATACAGTTGTGAGTACCTCGCGGGTACCGCCTTCGGGGGATCTCTTCATGGGGCCATGAAGCATGCGAAGGGTGGGCCGATGTGCGTCGGTGCCGCCACGTGGGCGTTGCCTTTTGGTTTTTTTAGGCAGAACTCACTACGGGGCCGCGAAACGTGTGAGGGGTGCGCCGCACTGGGGCGGTGCCCTTCGGTGGGGCTCCCTATGGTGCCACGAAGCGCTGTGCTGAGCCGGGGAAACGCATGCGGACACTGCCACAGGAGTTGGGCTCCTTATGGGGCCACAAAACGTTGTACTGGGCGGGGGTCCCGCATGCGAGTGCAGCCATTGAGGCCCTCGGTGGGGCTCCCCATGGGGCCACGAAGCGCTGTGCTGCATAGGGGGAGCCGCATGCGGACACCGCTACTGAGGCCTCTGGTGGAGCTCTCGATTGTGCCACGAGAAACGTTGAACTGTGTGGGGCATGCGGACACCGCCACTGAGGCTTTTGGTGGAGCTCCCGATATTGCCGCGAGAAACTTTGTACTGTGTTGGTGAACCGCATGCGGACACCGCCACGGATGCCTCTGGTGAAGCTCCCTATGCGGCCACGAAGCGCTGTAATGGGCGGGGGAACCGCATGCGAGTGCAGCCACTGAAGCCTTCGGTGGGGCTCCCTATGGGGCCACCCAGCGCTTTGCTGGGTGGGGGAATGGCATGCGAACGCCGCCGCTGGGGCCTTCGGTGGGCTCCCTTGCGGCCACGGAACGCTGTGGTGGGTGAGGGAAACGCGTTCGAGTGCAGCCTTCGGGGCCTTCTGTGGAGCTCCCTATGGGGCCACGAAGCGTGTGAGGGGAGTGCCAAAGTGGGGGAGGAGGTGTACGAAGAAGAAGAAGGAGAGGAGACGAGAGGAGACGCGGCGCGCCGTCTCCTCAAAACGAGGACCCAGACCCATATGATTGTTGGGAAAACTGCAAGAGCTTCACGGATTAAGAACAAGTCGTTTTCAAATGTGGTCCTCGCCCGAGCAACCCGTTTCTTTATTGTTTGGGGCATGACGGGCATCATGGCCCCCGCCCCCCCCCATGACGTAACGCTCCCCCCTAAGTGCGTTCCTGGCACTGCCGCCGTGCGCGTCGGGATCCGCATAGGTGTCAGCAAAAGAATCCGCATAGGAGTCTGGTCCGCATTGTGAATCTCATGGGGGTCCGCATAGGGGATGCGCATGCGCATCCGCATAGGGATCCGCATGCGTAGGAAACCGCGCAAGGATCCGCATAGGGATTCGCATAGGGATTCGCATGGCAATGCGCATGGGCATCGGCATCCGCATCGGGATCCGCGTAAGCATCCGCGCAGGGATCTGCATAGGGATCCGCCTAGGGATCGGCATCGGGATTCGCAAAGGGGACCGTACCGGGATCCGCATAGGGATCCGAAGTTGTGATTTCGTGTTCCCGGTGAAAATTATTCCTCTTCCTTCACCTCCTCCTTCTCCTCCTCATATTCCTCCTCCTCCTCCTCCTCTTCCTCCTTCCTTTTTCTCCTCCTCCCTGTCTTCCTCCGCGCGGCCATTGTCGTCGCTCGTCGCTCGTCGCTCATCGTCTTCGTGCGCGCGGGCGCGGCTGTGGTGCCGGAGCCGCACGGCGTTACGTCATACCCCCCCGCCCCCCCCCCCATGACGCCCGTCATCGCCGAACATAAGGAAACGCGCTCTAGCGCCGCACGCATGTTTCATACATTTGCAACACTTTAACGAATGGAGGGTGGGTCGTTTTCAAAATGCGGTTATCACTCTCGCGCCGCGCACACTCGCCATACAAATGCAAGAGCTTCACGGGTGGAGGGCGGCTCCTTTTCAGAATGTGGTTCTCGTTTCAGCGTTGCGCACAGTCGTTTTAAGAGCTCACAGCCGTTTCTGGAGTCTCATCGTTACACTTCCAGAAATCGTGGTGTGGCACGACGTCGGACTGTCAGGGCGCAGCAGTTACGTTGACCCGTGGTGTTGCAGTCCCAGGAGCGGTGTTCTTCCACGATTCAGGATCGTCCAGACGCAACAGTAACGGTGATTCGCGGCGCTGAAGTCCCAGGAACGGGTTTCTGGCACAGCTCAGGATTTTCGTACGATTGTTTTCCAGCGGGGCATTTCCTTCAATGCAACTGGGTCTTTGTATGGGGTCACTGAAGAGGGAGCTTGGAGGGAGGGCTTCTTGCAACACCTATACGACCACCCTTCCGGTGATAAGGAGTCTCGTGGGGGAGGAACCAACGTCTCACTCGATCGTTTGCACTATCGATCTCGCTATCGATCTCACTATCGGATTCGCTCGCTCGATCTCACTCGATCGATATCACAATCGATCTCCCTCCAACTATTCCATTCGATCGATCTCACAATCGATTCCACAACCGATCTCACTATCGATCTCACTATCGATCTCGCATTCGGTCTCACTATCGATCTCACTATCGATATCACAGTCGATCTCAACTTCAACATCAGCATCATCATCATAATCATCCATCTCGTCGTCACCAACGTCATCAACATCATCATCGGGACACCATCACCATCATCATCACCTCATCACCACCAGCATCAACACCATCATCATCATGGCACTGTCTGGGACTGGAATGATAGCGTAGTGAGAGTAGCGAGCTGGGTTGCATCGTTACCCATTTATGCTCAAAGTTTTTGAGGCGTCGCACCTTGGATGGCGCTCCCAGTTTCTCTCGGCGATCTCCTCCAGACTGCCGCGAGGGAGATCGGGCGGGGAGCGGTCGCAGGGCTCGTGGCCAGCTGGGCTGCCACGGGCAGCGGCGGGGAGTATTGCCCGCTCCCACAGCCGCGCCCGCCTCCGCCGACGCGTCCGAACCTGACCTGCCCGGTGCCAGAGCTGGTCTGTCCTCAGGCGCTGTGCCCAGCCTGCCCAGGGCCCAGTTGCCCAAAGGAGCCGCCGTGGGTCATTCTTGCGCCGGTGGTCGCCGCCAACGCATTGGTCTCGGCCGTCGGGGGATTCTTGGCTGGACGGCGTGGACCTCAGCATGTCGGTGGTGCCAGCTGCTCGGCGCGGCGCCCTGCCATCAGGGGTGGGGCGTCATTGAGAAGCCTGATGCCCGGCTCTCGGTTGCTGGTTCGCTACGCTGACGCGGGTGAGCACCTGCTGCATGAGAGTGTATGCTCGTGGCCCGTGAGCGACAGAGAATGGGTGACGGAGTCGCCCGACGGGGATCAGATGCCAGAGGAGCTCATCGGTGGCGACATCGAGGAGTTCATCGTGCTGTCGCCAGGCGGGTTAGTGCCTGGTCATGTGCATTCGCCACGGTACCGATTTCGTGAAGAGGTAGGGCCGCGGGCCCTCAGGATGAAGATCACCGAGGCGAAGTTGCTGGCCGAGGCGACCGCGCGGCCCAGCGACGGGGCGATCACCGCGGCGCCGTTCGCCCAGCTGTGGGACGGCCAGGTGGTAGCCCTCGATGACCTCTGGAAGGGCGGCGGGATGGTGCCGCCGCCGCGTCGACTTCGCGGCGAGCAGGATCAACTGGGCGGCGGAGATGCTGAGGAGGTTCTGGGCACTGCGACTCCGCCTCCGGACGACAGAGAGGCAGGGGGCGCGGTGCCCTTGGTGGAGGACGAGGTGAGCCACCGTTGGGTCGCGGGCGAGCCGAGTGAGCTGTTCGGCTTGGGCGCGGAGTTCACGGTGGCGACCATCCTTGCCGAGAAGGGCGCTTGCCGCCTGGGGGGCCGCATCCTCGCGTCGGTGTCGGGTGCGCAGGTGGCTGGCTCTACCGGGGCTGGCGCGGTGGTGCTGCATCGCGTCGGCGTCGGCGAGGTGGGCGGCTTCGCTGAGAAGAGGTGGGGGCAGATCGCCGCCTTGATGCCGAAGGGAACGCCAGGCCCAGGGAAGTTGTCCCAAGGTCAGGGGGCTAGCTCGACGGACGAGGTGGACGACGACGCCAGGGCCCTCGCCGCGATGTGCGACGAGCAGGGGGAGCGGTTCCGCTCTTGGAAGGACGCCGTCGGAAAGATGCATGAGAGCTTCTACGAGGACTGGCCCGTCGAGGGCCCGCGGACCATGCTGTGGGTGGCAAAGAGCATCGAGCGCACCGGGGGCTCTCCCATGCAGTGGTACCACAAGTACCTGGCGGAGAATCGGATCGCCGCCTCGGACCGACTCGCGCACGAGCTCCAGGCCTTGTGTCGGCTGATGGAGCACGCGGGCTGCTACGACCAGCTGGACCTCGCCTCGCCGGCCGCGTCCGAGGTACTCGCGAGGGGGGTGCAGCTGCTGCTGGATGCTGCCAGTCGGGGCCCTGGTGAGGGCCGCTTTGAGGGCGAGGAGTTGCGGTCGGGACATCAGCAACGGACGGCGGGGATCGCGCCAGCCCTGACGGCGCACTTCGCCACCCGCACCAAGGAGAAGGCTGCGATTGAGAAGCAGCGCCAGAAGGCCCAAGAGGCACGCTCCGCCGCCAATCCAAAGGCAAAGGCGAGCGCCAAAGGTGGGGCTGGAGGCGCAGGAGGGGACTAGCTGTGCGACGGCGGTTTGCAGGGACCCCGCTGCAGGCCGCTCCTACCTCGGAGGGGTAGCGCCCCTGGGCGCGTTTTGGTCGCTGAGCCGGGCGGTCGTCGTCGGGCTGGGCCACCTGTATTTTTTGGAGATGCAACCCGAGCTCTTCCCCTTGCCGACGCTGGCGGAGGAGGGGCCGTGCAGGGCTGGGCTGAGCCGAGGTGTGCGTCAACGGGCTGCTCGCCGCCAGGCCGTCATCTATCGCACCAACGATGCCATCAACGCCTTGAACTGGCTGAGTGGGTGCGGCGAGAGGGCGAGGCCTGACGGCGGTGGCTCCCCAGCGTGATTGAGGCCACCCAGGCCACCCAGCGCATGAAGCCGCACGCGCGCTTCTGCGTTCCCGAGCCGGCTACGACTCGGACGGGCACATTATGAGCGACTACCAGGAAGAGCTGTTGTCGGTGCCCGCCTCGTGCAAGGACTGCCCTCGCACGGTGGACGTTGTGCCGGCTGAGGCTGCATCTATGCTGGTAGATTTTTAAGAGCGCATGGTCAGGTCGGATACTGAATTTTGGGAGCTAGCGGACAACTCGGAGCCTATCACGCCCTACATGGATCGTAACCGGTCGAGGGACCGGGAGGCGTATATCAAGTTTGTCCGCAGGCTGGAGTCTATTGGCGCCATACGGTGGTGCACTTCGTCGAAGGAGCGCGCCACGGTGTTCTGCGTCAAGAAGAAGTCGGGGAAGCAGCGGCTGGTGGTGGACGCCCGCCGCAGCAGCCGTCGATTTCGCGACCCGCCAGGGGTCGAGTTGGCGACTGCCGAGTCCCTGGGTCTGATCGAGGTCGACGACACTGAGATCTTTGTCAGCGCGGGGGGCGCGCAGGACGCCTTCTACAGGTTCAAGATCGATGTGGAGCTGAGCCGGTACTCCGCGCCGCCGCCCCTGAGGGCGGAAGAGCTCGGCCTCCACGAGGCTGAGGGGGAGAGGCTGTGGCCTGACCGTTGGGTGCACCCTTGCTTCGCGGTGCCCCCGATGGGGTTCAAATGGTTTCTCCATCTGGCGCAGGAGGCGGTCACCAAGCAAGTGGAGACTGCGACGGGCGCGCCCGCCAGCCGTCGGCTCCAGACGTTCGGCGGCTCGCGCTTGATCACCTCCGGCGGGCAGCCCCTCCACTACGTCTACGTTGGCAACGTGGGTTTCTTGGGCGGCCAGCGGGAGGTGGTGCAGATTCTGAGAGACCGGGCCTGCGACGCGCTCGACGAGGTCGGCCTGTCCACCCACGAGCACGCGCACGCCCAGCATGACGCGGAGATCCTGGGCGTGGCGATGGAAGGTCGCTCTGGCACGGTGGCCACTGCCCTGAGGAGAATGTGGAAGATCGATAGCTTGCTCACCTGGCTGCTGGACCGAGGGGCTGTGTCGGGACACCAGCTGGAGTCGACCGTAGGCCACCTCACGTTCATTTTCATGCTCCGCCGCCCGCTGTTGTCGGTTTTGTCGGCGACCTACCAGTTCATGAGGAACGTTGGTAGTGAGCAGGTCGACCTGTGGCCCTCCGTGCGGGCCGAGCTTAGTGCTGCGCGGGCGCTACTTCCCTTCGCATTTGCTCAGTGGAGGTTGCCATTGGCACTGCGAGGTCGCGGCGACAGACGCCTGCCCAACAGGATGGGGAGTGGTCGAGGGTATCTGGGACCAGAAAAGTGTGAAGGAGGTGGGGAGTGTCGAAGCTTCTCGAGATGCCCTGGAGGACAAGTTCACTGTGTGCGTTCCCAAAGGCACCAACGACCCCGACGAGTTCTGGGAGGAGGACCCCGAGTTCCCCGACATCAGCCCCGATTGGGTCCTCAAGGCCCCCTGGAAGTTCGTGTACTCTGGAAGGTTTACCCTGAAGGAGCCCATCCACGTTCTGGAGGCAAAGGGGATGATGCGGGCCCTGCGTCGGCTCGCGAAGCGCCCTGGGATTGAAGGCCGTCGCCTCTTTTTCTTGGGGGGCAACTTGGGCCAGATCCTGGCCTTCTGCAAGGGGAGGGCCTCCGACTTCAAAATGAATATCTGTTGCCGGAGGTGGTGCGCCCTGTGCCTGGCCAGGAACATCCGTTGCCATGTTCGTTGGTTGCCATCTGAGCTCAATCCTGCAGACGAGCCGTCTCGGCGATCTGAGCCTGGACCGAGACGGGCAAAGGATGGCGACCCCGCCGCCCGAGGCTGCGGCCCGCGCGGGGCGGCGGGAGGCACGACGGCTCCCCAGCAACGGCCACTGTGCTCGCGAGACGGCGCCAGCGCCCCAGCCGGCCAAGCAGCGGCTGGTGGCCCGCCTGCCGCGGAGTGCGCCGATGTCGCAGCCAGCCAGGAGGAGGAGGTTGAGTGCGACGCTGGCCAGGCAGGAGCGCTACTCGCTGGAGGCCGACACCCTCGGCCGCTCGTTCCTCGAGACGAAGGCTGCGGGCGACGAGGTGGACAAGCAGTACATCGAGATAATGGAAGAGTTCGAGCGGGGCTGCGTGAGGCTCGGGCTCTCGCTCGACTCCCCGGAGGACATCGATTGCGCGTTGATCGAGGTGTTCGACGAGCGATTCTTCAACGGGATGGGCGGCAGCGTCGGGCACTACCTGCTGGCGGCCATCAAGGGGCCCCGCCCGGAGTTCGGGCTGGCTGGCATGCATCGGCTCCCTCGAGCCCACCGTGCCCTCCAGGGTTGAGACCGCCTGGCACCTGGGCAGTCCCGCCTCCCGGAGGTGCGCCCTGTGTGGGCGGCTGCGATGGCCGAGCTTGTCCGTGCGGGCTTTCGCACGATAGCGATCGAGACGCTGATCGCCCTCGTGACCTACGGGCGCCCTGGCGAGATCCACGAGCTGAAGGCGAAGTGGCTGATCCCGCCGTCGGCGAACGCGGGGCCACGCTGGACCTTCGTCATTCGGCCGTCCGAGGAGCTGCGGCCCACCAAGGTGGGGATCTACGACGACACCGTTGTCTGGGACAAGGAGGACGCGTGGACCACGCAGCTGTTCGTCGACTTGAAGCGCGGGAAGGAGGGCGACGCTCCCCTGTTCGACTACAGCTACGCGAGCTACCTGAAGCAGTTCAAGGCCGCTGCCCAGCGACTCGGACTGCCCGAGCTGGCGCCCTACCAGCTCAGGCACAGCGGCGCGTCGTGGGACCGCCTGCAGCTGAGGAGGGCGCTCGACGAGATCATGATGCGCGGCAGGTGGGGCAGCCACAAGAGCGTCGCCCGCTACGAAAAGGGAGGTCGAGTTCAGGCACAGTGGCAGCGCCTTCCCCAGAGCTTCCAGAAGTTCGCGATGTGGTGCGAGCACAACCTCCGGCGCGTCTTCCTGGACGGCCTGCCCGTCCCCGCAGCTCCCTCGCTCCCGCGGTCTGGGATTTTGAGGACGTCTACGCCGGCTGCGGCGGCGTCTCGGCCGAAGTAGCTAAGAGAGGCGGTCGGCCGACCAAGACAGACATCGCGTTCGGTCCAGACCACGATCTACTAAAGAAAACGAATCAGCAGGCTGTTCGGAACAGAGTTCGAACTGGCAAGGTAAATTGCAACACCTTGTCAATCCCTGAGCCGTGCGCGTCGTGGACGTCCTCCACCTCTGCGCTCGAACCAACACCCGCGGGGCCTCAGCAACCTCAATGCCGCCGACTCAGAGAAAGTGAGATCGGGTAACATCTTGACTCGGTGCACTATCAAGCTGTTCGCCTGTGTTTAAGAATGAAGGATCCGTGTATCATTGAGAACCCTCTCACGTCCATGTTCTGAATCTTGCCTGAAGTATTGAGGCTGGCCGCCCACCCGCGTGTTTCTTTACATAGAGCTGACTTCTGCCAGTTCGGGGCCCGGTGGAGAAAGGCAACTAAATTCATGCTGTGTAATATTCCTGATGAGTGTGGTAGGTCTCTCGGGCCTTTTAAGTGTTCTGGTAGGGGGGTCTGCTCCAGGACGGGCCGCCCGCGCCTTGAGCTGTCTGGCAAGGCCCCGATTTTTCACGACAGCCACGTGGCTCGAATTTATGGTCAGGGCTGTATTTAACTTCTCTGGCGTTCCAAGGCATAAATGGTCTTGGGCACGTTGTGGAATTGGGTCTCGGGAGAAGCTTTCAGAGGCTCCCACCAGTTGTAAAGCGTTCGTGAGAGTCGTGATCTTATCAGTTGCTGCACACTGCATGATATAGAAGAGTCTGCACGAAAACGGCCCGCCCTCATGGCACTGTCTGGGACTGGAATGAGAGCGTAGTGAGAGTAGCGAGCTGGGTTGCACCGCTGCCCATGTATGCTCACAGTTTGCCCGCCCAATCTTTCTTGTGACCTCTGCGCAAGTCCCACCCTTGTATCCCTGACCTTATAAAGAAGGTCTCTGGAGAAGCTTTCAGAGGCTCCCACCAGTTGTAAAGCGTTCGTGAGAGTCGTGATCTCATCAGTTGCTGCACACTGCATGATATAGAAGAGTCTGCACGAAAACGGTCCGCCCTCATCATTATCAACATCGGGACACCATCATCGTCACCACCATCATCAACATCATCACCATCGGGACACCATCATCATCATCGGAACACCAAGATCCTCTTGATCATCATCATCAGCATCTCATCATCATCATGAACAACATCATGAGCATCACCATCATCGGGACACCAGCATCATCACCAGCAACACCATCATCAACATCATCACTATCATCTTCGCGACACCATCATCATCGACACCATCATCATCACCACCATCATCAACATCATCGGGGCACCATCATCATCATCAACATCAGCATCATCATCGCCATCATCGGGCCACCATCATCAAACTCATCATCATCACCTCATCATCATCCTCATCATCAACATCACCACCATCGGGACACCATCATCGCCATCATCATCTTCAACATCATCATCATTGGGACACCACCATCACCGTCATCATCAACATCATCATCAGCCTCATCAACTTCACTGGGGCACCATCATCATCATCATCATCATCATCATCACCATCATTTCATCATTTCCTCACCAGCAACCTCATCATGATCAACAACAGCATCATCATCATCCGGACACCATCATCGTCATCAGCAACATCATCATCAACAACATCTACATCATCGGGACACCATCATCATCACCACCATCACCATCATCACCATCATCATCAACATCGTCATCATCATCATCGGGACACCAGCATCGTCATCACCATCATCATCATCATTATCAACATCATCATCGACATCATCAGCATCATCATCATCATCATCGTCATCATCATCGGGACACCGACGGGGCACCGGCGGGACACCGGCGGGACACCGCGGGCCACTAGCCCCCGGGAAGGAATCATTTGGTCTGGCCGCGCCTCAGCCGGGGGCGGGACACCGGCGGGACACCGCGGGCCACCAGCCCCCGGAAAATAATCATTTGGTCCGGCCGCGCCTCAGCCGGAGGAGAGTTTCTCCTCGCCCGCCCGGGCAGCTTCGCCTCGCCCGCGCGCACGGCACGCACGAACACGAAACCGAAACCGATTTCCCGGTAGGGGGGCTCTCCGTTCCACTTCGATCTCACCCCCTCCCTTCCGATCGTTGATGAATGAGTCCTGGGTTGCCACTGGTCCTCTTCCTCCTCCTCCTCCTCCTCGTCGTCCTCCTCCTCCTCCATGCCCATGCTGGCTCGAGCAGAAGGCGTGGGGTGGAATTCGCGCGCCCCGCCGAAGGCGGGGCGCTGCGCGGCCCGATAGCAAAGGTCTATCGCGCCGCGCCCCGCTCCCTGGGCGATCGGGGGGCCTCGCCGGCATGGCTCCCCCGCCCCGTGCCGGCCCGCCGGTGTACGAGGAGCTCCCCCAGGCCTGCGAGGAGCTCCCGGCGCCGAGCGGTCCGCCCCCGGGGGGCCTCTCCCGCGGCCGCGCTGTGCTGTGGCCGACCGTGGGGCGGTGCGCGCCGCCCGCGCTGGCCGCCTGCGCGCTGGCCGCGGGGCTCTCGTGCCTCGCACTGCCGCCGTGGCGCGCGGCGGCGCCCCAGGCTGGGCGCGCGGGCTACGTCTCGCTCGCTGGTGCGCTGCCGCCGAGGTTCCGGATCGTCTCGAAGGGCACCTGCGAAGACATCGGCTGGCGCCCGATCTCGAAGCGGACGCTGCCGGACGGCTCCCCCATCGACGTGTGCGAGGACGCCGCGGCCCAGCTCGGCCTCGACGGGCCCGAACGCGAGCTTAGCGTCTCGGCCGCGGCGGACGGCCCAGAGGGCTGCCACGTGCGCACGGGCGGTGGCGCGCGGTCGTTGTGGATGAGCACCAGCCCGTTCACCTTTCACAAGGGCGCGGGGGCGCCCGGCCCAGGGGGCGATACGGTCCAGTCGGTGTGCATGGAGCAGGTGGGCGCGCGCGCGACCCCGGGGCGGGCGTCGGAGCGGCACCCACTCCCGGAGCCCCTCGTGCAGAAGTTTCCAGGGGACACCTCAGACGCCGCCTCGCCCGACTCGATGACCACAGGCGCTCCCGACGGCAGTGACCCCAAGGCCACCGAAGCAGCGGCCTCGTCCACCAAGCCAGACGCTCCATCCACGAAGGCGGTCTCGAGCGCCACGGCCACGACCACATCCACGACGACCACGCTGCAGGACGTGACGGATGCCAGTGCAGGATCGAGTTCTTCGGCAGCCGAAGAGGCGGTCGTGACGTTTCCGGGGGTCGTGCGGTTCACGACAGCTCCGCCCACAACAACCACCGTCACCACGGCACCTGGAATCGACTGGGGCAAGCACAGCATTTGGGAGCTGGCCATGGGTCGCGTGGACCGGGGGGCCAAAAAGGGGGAGTTGAAAAATGGGTGATACGAGAAGTGTTGCAGTGGCCGCCTTCGGCCCCAGTGCCCGTTAGCTTCCTCGGTGCGACCCGCCTGGCGGCTCTGGATGCTCCCAAAACTAGTTGCGCGCAGATGATTTTCCAGCCGACCTCTGCCGACCTCTTTTCTTGACCCTCCCGAGGAGGCGCCAGCGGAGGGCCAGACCGCGGAGGAGTGAGCGGAGCGGACAGGAGGTGCATCGACCGCCGAGGAGAACGTCGATGGAACGCGGAAGCGCTCGTGCCACTCCCGCTAAGCATCCGCCCCCCTTCCCCCTCCCATCCCTCTCCCCGCCCCTCCCCTCCGTCCGCCCGTCCGCCCAGATATGTACATCATTATCCCCCCTTGTTTCCACCTCCCCCTCTGTGCATTTCTTGCGTCTCATCCGCACTCCGTCGCCTCCTCCCCTTCCTCTTCCTCGCAGTGGCGCCTCCCTCTTCCTTGCATTGGCGCACTACCTGCCCCTCTCATCCGGCAAAGCTCCTACGCACTGCCACAGCCCATTTCCAGTCCTTCAGATTTCAGACTGCGCTTGTTCTGACCTTCTCCGCGTAAGACGCTTCGCAGTGAGAGACCGCGTAGGATGCCTTGCGGCGAGACAACGTACCCAGCGAGAGAAGTTGCACGACGAGCTTCGGATATTCCCAGGCTGTTCTCGCCCCGAGTTAGCTCGCAGGAGATTCCCGTGGGGGCTTCCAGGGGGTGGGGCCAGCGGGTGTTTCGCTAGAGGGTGCATCTTAGCGACTTGTGCTGGCGAGGTTGGTGCCGAGGTTGGTTTAGTCTCGGGCGCAAAGCGCGCTTGTGAACGCACGCATGCGGCGAGTTCCTGTCACACTCCACCGCTTTGTCTCTTGACTTCTCTTCCATCATATTATCGTTTTTCCTTCTCCGTACCCTTTTCCCTTCCTTACCGTTCTGGTCATTTCCTCTTTTCCGCCCTTGCGATCGCCACCTCCATCAGATCGAAAGGTCGTTCCGCGTCCGACAGTCTCGTTGCCAACGCCAGTTACAACCTCACTCACTCCTTCCTCTTACCCGCTCTGCCTCCGTATGGCCTTCCGTCTCCCATTATCCCAGTTTGTGTTGCGCGTGTTTGCTGAGCCTTTCCCGGTGTGCAATGAACACGCAGGCTGCGCTAGTCACGTCAGTAGGAAGAGTCCCAGAGCAGTTCAGCAATCGGGCTGCGTACGAATATGCAAGTACGCTGAAGCGTTGCCAGTAGGATCCAACAGGTAGTAGGCCTTTGGGTATAGCTGGGTACCAGCCAGGTTGGAGAGACAGAGGTATCATTTCTAGAGACGGAACGGCAAACATCAGCAGTGAAAGTCAAGAAGTTGAGGAACCTCATTGAGCACTGTAAGGGCAGTAATGTGTCGGTGAAGCGAGAGCGAAGTCGCGGCCACACCGAAAGTATGACAGCGAGCCGTCTACTGCAAGGCGTGTGCTATAGCTCACTCTTGGGCGTAATCGTTGACGACGAAAGGCAACTATAGTTTTGCCTTGTTTGTTATTCCCTGTATCTGGGAGAGGAAGCGTTTCGTGTGCGCGCTGATTTTCAATATCCCCCCATTCTCCTAAAGCGAGTGGTGCCGAAGGGCGCAGCTTCCACCCGCCCAGCATGCACGCTTGCAATTGCACCGCTTGCCGCAGCCGCCATTGAGGCCACTTGACCGCAAGAGGGGGCATCAACAAAGTGCAACATGCGAAGGTTTCTTGTGGTTCATGCCTTGGTTTAACCTGTGTGTTCAGTAGCGGCTTTGCGGCCCTGTGCAGATGGCGAGGTCTGGGGCAAGATCCACCCATGAGTTACGGCACCCCTGTACACCAGCAGAGGAAAGTTGGCACGGTGTTGCCGCGACGCACCTTCAGAGTTCTCATCAGAGTGAGGGGGCCGAACGGTCATTCACTGTCCCTGGGTGCGTGGCTGAAGTGGAATTCCGCGGTGCGGATTCTCGTTGTTGTTGTTGTTGTTGTTGTTGTTGTTGTTGTTGTTGTTGTTTGCTGTTGTTGTTTGTTGTTGTTTGTTGTCGTCGTCCCACCCGCAACCCGCCCCGCGACCCACCCGCGACCCACCCCGCGACCCACCCCGCGACCCACCCGCGACCCACCCGCGACCCACCCGCGACCCACCCCACGACCCACCCCGCGACCTACCCCGCGACCCACCCCGCGACCCACCCCGCGACCCACCCCGCGACCCACCCCGCGACCCACCCGCGACCCACCCGCGACCCACCCGCGACCCACCCGCGACCCACCCGCGACCTACCCCGCGACCCACCCGCGACCCACCCGCGACCCAAACCACGTTCAAGGTACAAACCACCATTTTCGGCGCCTGCGGCGGGCTTTTTTTGCATTCCTTCCAGGTTGAGAGCCCGCGACCCACCCCGTGACCAACTCGCGACCAACCCGCGACCCAAACCACGTTCAGGGTACACACCACATTTTTCGGCGCCTGCGGCGGGCATCTTTTGCATTCGTTTCAGGTGGAGAGCCCGCGGCCAACCCGCGACCACGTTCAAGGTACAAACCACCATTTTCGGCGCCTGCGGCGGGCATCTTTTGCATTCGTTCCCGGTGGAGAACCCGCGGCCCACCCGCGACCCAAACCACGTTCAGTGTACAAACCAAATTTTGTTGGCGCTTGCGGCGGGCTGCTTTTGCATTCCTTCCAGGTGGAGGTGGAGAGCCCGCGACCCACCCGCGACCTAAACCACGTTCACTGAACAAACCAATGCCGCACAAGCGCGGCGGCGGATTTTTGCATGCCGCCTGAGCCCGCAAGGACCTCTTCAAGCCCCGCGCATCCACACCAGCCCGTCCAGCAACTCTGCCCTGGCGAGTTGCCTTAATCAAAGAAGGCGGGGAGCATAAAGTGGAAAAAAGGATTGCGTTGCAGTTATCTTTGGAAAGGAGGGGGAGGCAGGAGGAGTAAACAGGGGACGAGGAGAACGCGGAAGAAGAGAGGATGTAAGGAGACTGTGCAGAAAGAAAAAGAGGAGGAGCAGGAGGACGAGGAGGGGGAGGAGGGGGAGGAGGAGGACGAGGAGGGGGAGGAGGGGGAGGATGATGATGATGATGGACGACAATGGGAGGACGATGATGGAGGCCGAAGAGGGGGAGGACGACAATGGGAGGACGATAATGAAAGGACGAGGGGGGGAGAGGGAGGACGAGGAAGAAGAGGAGGAGGAGGAGGAGGACGAGGTGGAGGAGGAGGAGGACGATGACGATGAGGACGAGGACGACGAAGAGGAGGAGGAGGAGGAGGACAGCGCCATCGACAGGGAAGGTGGGGGCCACGAGGTCCGCCGGCTCGACGACGCCCGCGTCGCCCGCGCCCGCCCCCTCACTCTAATCCGCAATTGCGGGGTGCTACGTACATATACTTCTGAAGGTCAAACGGCTTAGATGATAAGAAGACTGTTGGGCTGACTACACTTGAACAAAGGGTTCCGCGCTCTGGAAGCTTAGGGACAGCGCATACCAACGTCTACATAAATCAAGTACCATCAATATTGCTCTGGAGCTCCAGAGAGCCGAGACATGTCAAACAACAAAGGCATGGAGAGTGCCAGATTTCAGGCGTAATCGAAATATCAATGACCGTCTACCCAGAAGCACCAAACCACGGAAAGCAACAGGTGAAATTGTCGCCAACAACAAAGCAGCGTTGCAACGCTTCCGTAAAGTGAGCGTTGGTAAAGGCGATCGGCACACTAATTACTCAATTAAGCAACGTACTTGCAGATCTGATGAAGTGGATACTGTGTGTTTGTCTGCACTGCTTGATCAGGAGATTGTGATGAAGCGTTTGCTGTGGCGTTTTATGCTTATTTCCCGTTTCGCATCACTGTCGAGCCCACATAACTACAACGTTTCGGTGTTGAGTTTGTTCGATTGTATCTCACTTTTGTTGGGCATTCGTCTTTCAATCGGCGAGTCAACCTAATGGGAGTGACGGATGGCCTCACTGATACATTTGCAGCACGCGAGTTTCCCAGTCAGGGGTTTCTTGGAGATTATCTTCGAGGTGAGTTCAGGTCCACGGCCGCGCGTGCACGGTCAACCCCAGAAGGCATTATGATGTCGCGCCCCATGCCGATTCTGGAGGTCCTCTTGCTCCTGAGGGGCAGTTCGGTGGTCTTGCACCGACGCATGTCGTTGCGAAAGTCTTCTCATCCCTTTGGCAATACTGATCCATCATCGCTGCAGCGACGTGGACTGCCTGGTGTGAGGATTGGCCCGCTTTCGCAGCATGTCTTCAGCCCGCACAGCGGGAGTCACGGCGGCCCCCCACGGGGAAGCGAGCACGCACAATTTCGAATGTGTGATTATATACGGGATGGTTTCGAGACGTTCTGGAGGCAGATGTTGTTGGGCTGGGGCCATATTGGAGAGGTCTTGGGTTGTTTGAGAATTTTCTTGGGATAGCCTTGGAGACCAGCTGGGGGCTTCCCGGCCCATGTTGGAGCCGTTTGGGAGGCCTATCGGGGGCATCGCAGATTCTTCTCGGTATTACGACAATAATGGGGCCCATCTTGGGATAATGGTGGTACCATCTTGGGGCTTCTGGGGACCATCTCAGAGCTGGTTCTGGCCCTCGTAGGCTCTCGTCGGGTCATCGTGGCGTCCCCTGTCTGCAAGCCTGTTGGAGCCGTCTTGGGTACACTACTTTGTGACTTGTTCTCCTCGGCCACGATGAGACGGTAGAATTAAACGTTTGGAATTCTCGACCATGCTACCATTATACAATTCTGTTGCCCTACTATCCTACGTCTCTATGACTCTACTTAGCTAGTTTACTACTCTATATACTCTAGTACGCAGACCAGTCCATGACCCGTCACTCTAGTAGGTCGAAAGATCTAAGAGGTCTCCGATCTCCACCCGTCCACTACTCTAGTTCAATGTCTGGCTAGTTTACGCCGTACGCACGCAGCCCCCATTCGAAACGGGATGCGCAACGGGCATGTGCGACACAAGCGAGTTCGGCACCGCGGGGGCGGCTCAGGATCTGGGGTCGAGCCATTTGAGGAAAATGCGCAAGCACCACACACAAGCGCGCCACAAGGCAGGCAAGCAATCGAGCAAGCAAGAAAGACCGCAGTCAGGCAAGCAAGCAAGGGAGCAGGTGAGCAGGCGCGCAGGCAGGGAAGCAAGCACGCGAGCAAGTAAGCAATCACTCACGTAAGCAGGCAAGCAAGCAGGCGAGCACGCAGGCAGGCAAGCCGTCCAGCCGCGCGCAAACACGCAAGCAAACAGGCAAGCACGCAAGCCAGCAAAGAAGCAAGCACAAAAGCACCAAGCAACCAGGAAGTCTTACTCACTGTGGGACCGGCATGCAGGACAAAGGCTTGATGCTCTGGGGGTACGAATTCCATGCGTTAGCAATTATGAAAATTTGCCATGGACAGAGCCACAGACAAATGTCAAGCACACTTGAACGACAAGTACAAGCATTGAGTTGTAGTCCAGAACGCATGATGGGTTGGTCCTGTTGAGGAGCAATGAACGAACGAGAGAAACAATCTCTACCCAAACAGGCAGCATCTGCCACTCCGCAACGCGATAGAGGTGGTTGGTGCTTGCATTCAGGTATGGGCGGCTTGAGATCTCAGCCAATGGTCTATACAACACTGAGTGGAGGAACAAATACAGTTTCGCATCCGTCGCCGTTGGGATAGAGGAGCCACACCCGTTCAGTAAGTCGTGCGAGGGAGGGGAGGCGATACGTGTATGTGTGTGGGTACGTGTGTGTGTGTGTGTGCGTGTGTGCCTCTGTGTGATGACGGGGTTCTCGTCGTTGGTGTGAAGGGTGGACGTCTTTCGGTGAATTAGTGGCAGGACAGTTCCGTGAC